AAAAAAGAAAAAAAAAAAAAAAGAAGGCTTCCTCTCCACACTTTATTTCAACCCTTCTAAACTGCTATTCAAAGCCTATCGTTTCCCACAATTCCATTCCCTCACATTGTTTTCTCTCTCTTCTTCGTTCAACATTTTCTTCTTCTTTTTCTCTGCAACCATGTTTGATTCTGCAATTGAGATGATCACCCAAGTTGCTTCTAACTCTCTTCTTGTCTTCTGTTTATGCAACTTGATCATAGCGATCATCCTCATAGGCTCAAAACCATCCTCCACCTCTCATCAGGACACCACAATTCATCTATCTGTAGTGTCCGAACCAAAAAGAGGGAATAGAGAAAGGATGAAGGCTCAATATATGTCCAAAAAACACAATTCAACACTGTATGTTGATGGCACTGGAGTTTCATATGCTACTACCAATTCAGATAAAAAGGAAAAGGAAGGAACAATGGAGAATCACAAGAACAATATTCCTGGTAACTGTGAGGAAGATGGTCAGGAAAACAATGATGAGCTGAGGAGAAGAGCGGAGGAATTCATTGCCAAGGTCAATGGAGAATGGAGAGCAGAACAATTCAGGATAGTTAGCTAAGCCTTTAACATTTTCTGCAACTTTTGAGGTAGCATTTGGATTCTGAATTTTCATGTATTGATCATCAGTAATATATATGATGAAACAAGGAACAGACTAGGGGTAAGGCTCTCTGTGTTTCTGGGATGTTTTAAAAGTTTTCTCAATTGATTGTAGCTCTCCTTCACATGGATAAGGAGGAAAGTAAAAAAGGGAAAAAGTGGGATGTGGAGCTCAGTGCATGCTTGAAGATAATATTTGCTCTCTATTTGTCTGTAAAAAACTTTTGTAAGCAATAGGCATATTCTCTTTTGCTACAAGGTGTGCTGACCAATTGACAATTGGGATTCTTTGTTCTCTGTTTTTGATGTAATAATTAATTTCTAAAATCCATCTTCTTAAAAAATAATAAATGGTTAAAAACTTAAATTTTTATATTAAAAATCCTACATTTGAATCTTAAAATAGATAGAAAGAACTTTGAGAAGAAAAAAATTATCTCATATTATATAACTCATCATTCCACATACCCAAAAAGAAAAAAAAAAAAATGACCTCTAAAATTCATTGATGGCTTTGACATTTTGTTAATTTGTTAATTTGTCCTT